AGACTCAATTTTCAGCCTTGAGACATAAATAACTATTATTTGATTTTTTAATATCGTTTTCATAAGTTACATAACAAAAATAACCTTCACTTAGCAACCCCTGGGGCTTTAACCACCCTAATTAAATTTTTTAAAAAGAAACAAAATCTTTGTGATACCTCTTTGGAAAGCTCTTAAAGTTGCTATTTAACAGTACTTACTAAAAAATACTTTTTAATAGTTTAATTTTTGAAAAATACGCAAAATAATTCTTATAATTATTTATCGGTACAAATTAAATGATCAGTATTTCAATTTTATGGTAAGTGCACTTTTACATTATTTTATTTCAGTTGGTCAGTATGATAATAAATGGTCGGTGAAAATATTAAATGGTCAGTATAATATTAAATGATCGGTGAAAATAACAAATGGTCAGTATAAAAATAAATGGTCGGTGAAAATAAGAAATATACCCGTTTGCACCAACATATGGCTTAATCAAGATTAACTAATCTCAATTAAATTATAACCGTGATTAAATTTACCTCGGTTTGCACCATCCAATTTATAGCTAATCCTCTTTTAACTTTGATTAGGTGAAAAACGCGGAAAATGTGTGTTGGTATGTTGGTTATAACCCTATATTTTGCTGATAGGTTCGTACCACTGTAGCGTTCAAACGTCAAAAACGTCTAAACTTGTCATCTGTAGAATAATTATTTAAAGGGTATATCGTTTTACCTAAAGCGGTGTGTAAAATAATAATAATGGGCATTGCAAATTAAAGAAAAAGGAGTTGAATTGATAAATTTCGTTAATCAATAATTTAATTATTCGGTAGGTACCTTAATATTACAAATTAGCAAAATACTTATTTTAAATTGTTTTAGCGGCGATATCATTTTGGTCGTCATAAATATTAGAAATTTGTCCTTCTTCTATTAATCGATTCAGTACGTGGGCATCTAATTCATCCGCTATTGGTGGTGTTTCAAAATCTCTCATATCCAGCGCAATGTTATGGAGAACGGCTGCCGCAACAGGCAATTAGGAAATCGGCCAAACAAACCCCGTATTCTGCAATTATTGAAGATTGTAGCATCATGCACGGAGCCTGGCCACCTTGCCACCACGTTCAATATTAAAAAGTATTCGTCACCTCCAGGAGATTGTATCCGAATATGGGTGCAATAAATAGTTCCAACTACTCGAGGAAATGTGCCACATTGAATAATCGCTGTTGTTTTCTTCTCAATTCATCTGGAAAAGTTGGAAAACGCACATATTCATTGTATAATCTTGCGATAGCTTCAGATACTCTAGCAACAATGCGCCAAACTGTTGACAAAAGCATTCCCATATAGTCACCAATTTAATCCAAATCCCCCCCCGCTGAATAGAGATGAAGACATGTTAATAATTGATTCATCGGCGTAACACAATTATTTATAAAATGACGAATGATTTCAGTTGTAAACTAAATTATTTACACTGACCTATCTGTAGGATACTCCACTTCATCTTCGATCCTCACAAGAAGCTGATACACACAGAAACCGTTTTCAAAAAGTGCTTTGGTCCAAAGTGTCAAAGTACGAATGCCTTTCATAAATTTGTCGCGAAACCGTTTTCATTAAAATCGACCACTTCATGTCGTCGTCTTCCACAATAGGAAATTGTAACTTATTCATTTTTTTAATAAAGGTATAAAAAGAGAAGTCAACCTTTTAAAACGGTTAGACTACTGTTTTGCCAAGCAATGGCGCCTTCTAATCATGATTTAAATACTAACCGCCCGACTATTCACCGGTTATTTAAGCAACCCCTTAACCACGGTTAAGTGAATGGTGCAACGAAGTTTTCTGGATTAGCCAATTTAATCACGATTAAAATGCTAACCCACGTTGGTGCAAACGGGCAATAGTCAGTATAATATTAAATTGTCGGTAAAAATAACAAATGATGGGGTGTCTGGCGCCTGCGTGCAGCATTCGTTGGTGCGCCCCTTTTATATTTAAATATAATACATTAAGTAAATATTTGAATTTTAAGCCGTAAAATTTAAAAAATATTTATTTTGCGACAAACTGGCAATATGTAATTGAAAATGTAAAAAAAACCGCTTAAATTAAGTATAAAAAATATTTTTTAAATTACCAAACAAACAAGTAATATCATAAGGGCATCTATTTTTTCGAAAAAAAAACGAAAAAACACGTTGCTAAGTAATATTTTAACAAGAAGCATGAGTGCTGGTGGCAACAAAAATCCGAGTCGAAGACGAGGATTTTTGCACCTGCACGAATGCATTTTGTTAAAAAATATTACTTAGCATTGTGTTTTAACGATTTTTTTCATAGGAAAAGTTAGATGTCCGAATGGTATTTGACAAGACTATTTCATGAGTAACAGTTAACAATTAAAGTATAAATTGCAATTTTTGGTGACAACAGCTGTCATGTTTTGCCGCGGGTAAACTAGAAAAAACTGCTGACAGGTGCTGTCATACAGTTTTTCCACCTAGAAACCATTTGTAGTTCAAAATTGCGCGTTTGTGATTGGTGGAAATTAAGACGAGGGAAATAGTCGTAAGTAATATCATAAGGGCATTTAATTTTTCCGAAAAGAATCGAAAAAACACGTTGCTAAGTAATATTTTAACAAAAAGCATGAGTGCTGGTGGCAACAAAAATCCGAGTCGAAGAGGAGGATTTTTGCATCTGCACGAATGCATTTTGTTAAAAAATATTACCTAGCATTGTGTTTTTTCGATTTTTTTCACAGGAAAAATTAGATGCCCGAATGGTATTTGACAAGACTATTTCATGAGTAACAGTTAACGATTAAAATATAAATTGCAATTTTTGGTGACAACAGCTGTCAAGTTTTGCCGCGGGTAAACTCGAATAAACTGCTGACAGGTGCTGTCACACAGTTTTTTCACTTAGAAACCATTTGTAATTTAAAATTGCGCGTTTGTGATTGGTGGAAATTAAGACGAGGGAAATAGTCAGTGATAAAAATACTCTAAAGAAAAAAAAACATTCTAAACAATATAATAACTACAACTGGTTTTTAGTGACATACTCTCTAAAAATGACTAGTTTTCAAAGTAAAAAAGCAGTCACTAATAACTTTAGTCCACAGCTATTTGTATCCCGGGCATTTAACAGCTTATTATTATGAAAAATTGTCCCCTAAATCCGAAAATACCGTCAAAAATTATAAAAGTAAAGCAGTTTTTAAGATATAGTCAATACCATATTATATGGAAAATTTACTAAATCTCAAAAACGTTCTACTTTTTTAACTTTTGACGACATTTTCGGATTCAGCGGACAATTTTACATAGGAGTTGACTGCTAAATATCCGAGGTACAAATTACTATTGACAATAATTATTAGTCGCTGCTTTTTCGCTATTGCAATTAGACTAATTGAATTAGTAATTTTTGACTAATTCTATTTTAGAGAGTTACTACTGTTAAACTTTGCTACCGTCAACTGCAACTATCAAACAAATACTAAAGATAATATGACTATTTCTCTCCTTTTATTTTGATCCTCATATCAAAACAAAATAAGCAGCCAATATCAAAGCGGCAAAAGGCGCTTTATAGCGACCGAAAAAAAGAGCGGCCGACGCAAAAAAGGCAGAAGTATCATATGCAAGAAAGTTTATCGTTACAAAGTACTGATTGACTCTTTGATTTTGCGCCCCCGAAATGTTGCGCCTTCGTGCGTGCACGCACTGCACGCTCGCCAGGAACGGGCCTGCAAATGATGATAATAAATGTTCGGTGAAAATAATAAAGGGTTGGGTTGGGTTTGGTTGGGTTGCATACTGGCCATTTATTAATTAATCCTTACTGACCATTTGTAGAATTATTAAATGATATATATAAATGATTTAATTTTTACTGACCATTATAATCACAATAGTAAACATAGAAATACAGGCAAAATTCAATGTTTACTGATGATATGTATTTTATAGTACTGAGTATTTTATATTATTTTACTGACTGCTTGTAATATTATACTGTACATAAGGAATTAAATACTGTTCTGTTTATTACGACCCATTATTTATTCCAATTTCTGGTTATAAATATCAATTAAACCATTTTGTTGTCGTAAAATGTTTTTAAAACTGGAGAACACAAAATAATTGTAACAAAAGTATAATAAACTAAAAAAGCATAAATAAACAAATTGTTCAACAATAATCAAAACAATTTAAAATGACCCATTATTTTCCAAGCAATAGTACAGTCAATAGTACAGTCTATTCTTAATTCCCAATTTTTGATATATTTTTTAGAGCCAGACCAATAGAGCATTGCTACTTCTTAAATAGTATATAATAGGGGTATAAATATGAAACAAGATTTTGAGCTTTTAGCTCTTATCAAGCTCTTGAGCTTTTTTAAGCATTAAGGTTGCTTTTAAACCTAAAAGTTTGAACATTTGCACATTTTTGTAAATTTCGGGAATTTTAAATTTTTTAAAAATTTGGAAAAGTTTGTCTTTAAATTTATGCTACTATGCGAATTTTATTCGAATTTTCTAATACGACGCAGCCATGTGCGCCTTTTAAGCCGGATTTATAGTTCTAAACGTAGCCGTTGCAGTTGCAGTTACAGTAGGAGCAAAACAGTCTGTGATTGGCTGGATGATCTTTGCAGTAGCATCCAAGGTCGTTGTCGTAAGTTGTCGTAAGAGATGACCAACTTTTATCTTTCCTTGTGGAAACTACTACTACAGCCAATCAAATTGCAGACATTGCAGACAAACTGTCAAACTCAAAAACAAGCCTTCATCCTCCCAAACCATGTTTATAAGTAAACTAAACCAAATAAACAAAATAAACGAAGCGAAAATCACCGATAAAAAATACTACGGCTACGTTTTAGAGTTATAAATCCGACTTTAGTATCATTTTTTGTAACGCCAAGTTTTGGCTTACCCCGTACGCAAATAGGTTACACTTTAATAACTAACATGTTTTTTTACAGTATGAACGTGCCAAGTCCACAAACGGTACCGACCCCGCATCGCCAAGCGAAACCGGCGAATTCGGTGCAGTCGGCAATGGCGGCGGGCACATGTCGGTCAGCAGCGAGCCGGTTTCGCATCGCAACCGTTCGTCCCTGTACCACGGCACCTGGCCAGTGGAACGAACCATGTGGAACTCCGAGCCGGCCAGTCTTGGCGCGCAGACCGGCGGCGGCTCCATACACAATGGAGTCGACGTCACGAGCGTCATGAGTTTCGCGTCGAGCTCCGGAGCTGCCCATCTGGACAGGTGTCTCGATAGTCCGGACGCGTCAAGAAGGTCTTCCCAGCAACTCGAGGCCAAAGTAGATATGGTTTATAGTTTATTGGCTGTGTTGGGTGGGCAGGAGCACGCCGACATGGGCGAAACCCTCCTCGCGCTTAGTACAAATCCTGAAAGCTGTCTTGCCATGCGTCAGTCTGGTAAGTCTAATAACTAATGTTACGATTCTGAGTAAACTGTAAGCAAATCTGTAACTTTTATATAATAATACTTCATTATAATAATACAACAAAGCCTTAAGCAATATTTTTTTTAAATAACATTTTTGTACTTTTGCATTTTTTAGATAATTATGGAAAAGTTACAGATTTTACTTAAAATCGTTAAATCAACGTTCAATACGTGAAAAAAGGTAGCATATGGCGGAATTTAAATTAGTTGAGCATTTTATGTGGAAGAAAACACTTGTTAATATTTAAAATTGACTATTTTGATCAAAATGGATTTAGTAACAACTCTAATGCACATTTCGAAAGTAAAAAAAAAATTTTTCTAGTAATAAATATCTGCCTGTCTATTATCCAATTTTAATTTTATATACTCTTTGGCCAATTTATTGTACTTTTTTAATTTTATGAATTTTTAAAATAGTCAATATCTTCTTAAGAAAATGCATTTTTAAACTACAAAAGTAATTTTATAAATACATGTAGAATCACTTTTAAACCGCTTTTTTGGACAACAACACTTTTTTTACATTAAAATTTGAAAAAATAATGGTAAAAAAATTACATATTAAATTAATATTTTTCACAAAAACTACATTTTCGGCTTAAAAACTATTTTTGCAATAAATCTCTGATTACATATTTAGATACTAGGGGTGTGCGAATAATTCGAAAATTTTCGAATAATTGGACATTTTTTCGAATTATTCGAAAACTATTATATTATTAGCGAATTTCCGAGTATTTTGAATTCAGGGTTTCTTATGTTCAATATTCAAATATGAATTTAACAGTCAATATACATTTTATTCAAACCATGAAATATAGTTACACAAATAGAACAGTAAGTATAGTTTTTTTTTGAAAGAGAACGAAATAACAGAAATTATATCGTAGCAAATACAGTATTAGGAAAAATACAACCTTTGAAAATTTGCTACAAATTTTTGTGCAAAAATAATAAATACGATACTGAAACATTACATGAGTAACCTTTTCCTTATAGATTTTTTTCTCTCTGGGTAATTGATTTTTTAACGAAAAGTGTATTATTCGTAAGTAGAATATTTCGATAAACGATTTAAAGGAATTTAAATGGAAGCAATTGAAAATCCAGAGATATTTCATTATTTCGCGAATTCATTGAAAATTTTCGAATTATTCGAAATTTTACGAATAATTCGAAAATTTTCGGATTATTCGATTTTTTTCGAATTATTCGTAGAATTTCGAATAATTCGAAAATTCAAATTATTCGATTCGAATTTCGAATCGAATATCAATATTCGATTCGAACGATATTCGCACACCCCTATTAGATACATTTCAAACATATTTTTTTACCATCACTTTTTTAATATCAATGTCATCCTAAAAATGTGTTTTATCGCTCTAAAAGCGTTTTCAAAGCGATTATATTCATAAAATCACTTTTGTGTTTTAAAAATGCATTTTTGTAAATGAGTCTAATAAAATGGCGAGGCACTGTATTAACGATACCTCGCTAAAATGTTTTATATTTCATTATTTACAATGGCTGCAAGAATGTGTACCAAATAATGGTTATTATTTAGAATCTAAATTTTAGATAGTTAATAATTGTTTATTTCTGGTCCTATTAGATTGGTAAAGAGATATTACAATGTATGTTTTGGATTCGTAGTAATATATAGGGATGTTAAATGTATCAATAGTTATCGATTATTATCGATAAAATTGTTATCGATATTTATCGATAATTTTTTAAATTAATGATAGTTATCGATAAAAATTCTTCGAATTTCTATTTATTTTTCTATTTTTCCTATAGTCATAGTCTATGCTATAGTACTATAGTTAAAAAAGAGTAAGAATATCCCATAGACAAGAAACGACTAGACGTATAACTGGTTGTAAAAACATTCTTCAACATCCAAGGGATTTTAAACTCGATGTCTGTAAACAAACCTTATGAAGCAAATTAACAAAGCGAAACATTAGACTTTATACGTATAGTGGTATCTTGTCTATGGAATATCCTAGGGTAGTAAAACGTACTTAAATTCATATTCATTTATTTGATAAAGTGGTTTAAAAAGTACGCCATAATTTATTTTTAATATTTGTTTAAAATTATAATAATTACTTATTTGGTTTTAAGAACAGTTTTTGATTATTAAAAATATTTTGTGGTGGGGGAAGTTAATGATACTTATCGATAATTATTTAAAAATTATCGATAAGTATCGATACATTTTTTTTATTGATATTAACATCTCTAGTAATATAACATAAAATAATAAGTTATATAACATAAAATAATAAGTTATAGACTGAAAATAAATAACAAATTATATTATGTTTCTCTTAGGTTGTATACCATTATTGGTCCAATTAGTCCAATCTGAGAAAGATGTAGAAACAAAGAAAAAAGCATCACTAGCGTTACATAATCTAGTTCATTCGCAAACCGACGAGAAAATTAGGAAACGCGAAATCAGAATATTGAAACTTTTAGAACAAGCAAGAGCTTACACAGAAGCCCTCCGTGCCAATACAGAATACAATCCAGAACCAAACTCATCCTCTTCAAATGAAGGTAATGATTTTTATAATTGAGAATAAAATAATTATCACCATCCATGACTAATTATTATTCCAATTAATTGTTAATTTTGCAGATGGAGATAGCCATCCAGTGCAAGTTATTGCTCACTTAATGAAGTTATCTTTCGATGAAGGCCACAGGCAAGCAATATGTCAACTTGGAGGGATACATGTAATAGCCACATTAGTTGAGGTTTGTAAATATAATGAATTATACCATTAAATTTAAGGGGTTCTGTGAGATTTTTAAAGGTTTCAGATTATGTTTTATATTTTTTTTTAATACAACAAGAGTTGAGATTGTAGAATGTTGATGTCCCCAAAAGTTGAGATTGTTTAAATCGGTTTTTGATCATTTGATCTTGTAATTAAAAAATAATGCTAATATCATGATACTAAAATTGTATTTTGTTGGAATTTACAAAAAAAAATGCAAATAATTGTCAACAAAAATGTACAGTCTGTGTATAAGTTGGCGGAGCAAAGGAATGTTTATGCAGTTTAGATAAATAATATTAAAAAATACCTACTCATTTATGTTTTTTATTATTTATATTATAAAAAATACGTTTTAAAAGCAATCAACACGACAATTGTTTAATACAGCGGCGGCCCACATCAAATTTATATGAGTTTATAATGACACCTTTGTGGAAATTTTTCTCTGAAAAAGTTTTAATAACAACATAAGAGTTTTTAAAGTCTTACTTCCTCTTAAAAAGTCTGAATAACACTTATTAAATCGGAAAAAGTCAGAATAAGACTTATTAAGTCGGAAAAAGTCTTTGTAAGTCAGACTAATGGGAGTCTTCTAGAAGAGTTATAAGACTTTTAGCAGAGAAATGGTAGGAACCTAACTATAGCGATTAAAATATATATCCGGAATTATTCAATGAGGTTGTATTTGATTATTATAAAATAAAACACAAATAAAAGTATTTATTAACGTTTTGCCGGGGTGGTAATAAGCCAAATTTATTGTATAATTACCCATATAATAACATGTGAGGAGTAATAATTATAAAAATTATAATTTTTTACATACGATGCGCTTGACTTGCTTTTATTGTTGCCACTGTACATGTTATTTTAATAGTTTCTTTTTATACGCAAATATTCATCTAACCCACAACCCACACAAGAAGGTCTGTTCTTTAGCAGTTCGCACAGACTGGAAATCACCAAATTGTTCCAAACACTTTTTTAGGCACAATATCGATTTTCTCAGCTGACCAATTAGAGCACAGCTGATCTGTCATGTGATGGCATCTTCCCGCGTTTTCAAGATAGCTCTCCTGTCAGTACTTACCAAGTGTTGACGTTTTGCGGGTATTTTACTCGGAAATCGGGGATTTTCGTCATGTTTTTATAACTAGTATTTTGTAATTTTTGGTCGGGAACTTTTATGACATTCATCTGGCAACACTGTATAAAACACATGAAGCAATGAAAGATCAACCATATATGTTTTATAATCTGTGCATAGACCAATCTAGGAATCTGTGTATGAGTTCGACTGTCGACCATATCACGCCTATGCGTTACGAAGAATTGTTACCCTGCTTAAAATACCCCATAGAGACCCTGTTCAAACCGATAGATATTTGTATCGGGATGTATGGTGTTTCTATAGGGTGTATCGGTTTGTATAGGACCCGTAGTTGAGATTTATGGTTGTTCTATAGGGATATCCACCATTGATTTATTTGCTATCGGTTTCAATGGGGAAAATACACATAAATGTAGAAATTAGTTTTTTCCCTATAGGACCCTATAGGTTATAATAAAATTTTGTCAAATGTTTTATGGTTGCTCTATAGGGATATCCCTATATATCCTTCATTGAGTTATTTTCTATCGGTCTCAATAGGGAAAATGTAAAAGTTATGGTGTGTCTATAGGTAATTTCCTATACATTTTCTATCGGGCTGTATCCGGAAAAACCCATGGACAAATGCACATATAGAATCCGGTAGCGCCCGATAGATTATTTTGTATAGGTCTCTATGGGGTATTTTAAGCAGGGTATAGTTATTATACCTTATGTACTTAATCAACAAGGAATCTGTATGTACACAAACGAAACGTATCTCCCAACTGTTTTATTCTGTTTAATTAAAATTAAGTTTGTTTACCTATATTGTAAACATTGCTTTCGTGTTTTTATAAGCCTTATAACAACACAAAAACAGTGTTTATAAATAATTTTCATTGTGCTTTCTTTTACTATATCCAAATACAACATCTCTGAATAATTCCGGATATTTATTTTTATCGCCATAGGTACCTACCATTTCTCTGCTAAAAGTCTTATTAACTCTTCCAGGAGACTCCCAAATCTTGCTATTAGTCTGACTTACTAAGACTTATTCAGACTTTTTTCTCAAGGTTATTCAATAAACACTAAATTGTGAGTTAGGGATTAAATCGTTGTATAAACTGTTTCATAGCAGATAGTATGATTTAACTTTTATGCTTATGCACTAAATTGTGAATTATGAAATAAATTAATGATATGAAGTTGTATAAACCCGCCATAAGAAAAAAATACAGAATATTACGTTGGCCACAGAATAGCCTATGTTTTATTCTGTAAAATATATACCTTTTACAGAATATATTCGGTAAAATCACCCAATAACCGTAATAATTTATGCGTTTATTTGAAACACCATATTTTTTATGTAAATATTACATATTTTTATTATTTCTTATTGTGTAGACCGTACAAATTCATTCTCTACTACTTTGTACCAATATGTCAGATCTATCTAACCTCACTTTATACTTTTAATAAATGTTCGTTTTATGTATTGTTTAACAAATAAAATTTTGCCTTGAAGATAAAATGTTGTATGCCATTCGGCCAAGAAGTGTCTTTTTGGCCTAATGCCAAAACTATTTATTTCAGAGTTTCTAAAAATGTTGACATTTAAAATTACCAGTTTTGTTTCCAAAATAGGCGAGAATTTTGAATATTGTTTAAGAAATAAAATTTTGCCTTGAAGATAAAATGTTGTATGCCATTTGGCAAAGAAGTATCTTTTTGGCCTAATGAAAAAAACTATTTATTTCAGTTCCTAAAAATGTTGACATTTAAAATTACCAGTTTTGTTTCCAAAATAGTCGAGATATTTTTTTGGATTATTGCTATTATTTTAATAATTTAAAAATAAATATTATACAAAAATCATAATGTATCAACCAAAAACTATTAATGTAATACAAAGTTTAAAAATAATTAAATATATAAAGATTTTGAAACCTTAAAAAAATATGATTTAAACTAAACTTATGTGAATGTACATTTTGTAGGCGGAACATGCAAGGCACGGTAGCACCTCAAGCGAAAATCATTGCGTACTAATGCGTAGATATGCTTGTATGGCACTCACAAACCTCACATTCGGCGACAGCGGCAACAAAACTTTGTTGTGTTCCTTTAGGGAATTCATGAGGGCACTTGTGGTACAACTGCAAAGCCCAAGCGATGAACTAAGACAGGTAAAGAACCAATATATTATAATTTGGGGCAAGCAGTAATGCAATAACACTTGATTTTCACTTTGGTTCAGCATTTTTTTAAATTGGCACAATTTTGTAGTGTTACTTGTAACCACTAAAAAATAAAACCTTAGAATTTAGTTTTGCATTATGGTATGTCATTTTTGTTATTAATTAAAAAGCAATAAACATATTAATTTATAAAAAATTCTTAGGTCACCGCTAGCGTTTTGCGCAACTTATCATGGCGGGCGGATTCAACGAGTAAAGACATTTTGCGTGAAGTAGGAAGTGTGACTGGTCTAATGAAATCAGCAATGTTAGATAATAAAGAAAACACATTAAAATCAATTTTATCCGCTTTATGGAATCTTTCTGCGCACTGTACGGAAAATAAATCTGAAATTTGCGCTGTAGAAGGAGCATTGGGCTTCCTTGTAGACATGCTGACATATAAAACACCCTCGAAATCCTTAGCAATAATAGAAAACTCTGGCGGAATATTGAGAAACATTTCTAGCCAGATTGCAGTTAGAGACGATTACAGAGAAGTCTTACGCCGACACAATTCCTTGCAAATTCTACTTGACCAATTAAAATCTCCCAGCTTGACCATAGTCAGTAATGCTTGCGGAACGCTATGGAACTTGTCTGCTAAATGCGGTGCTGATCAGGAAATACTGTGGGAAATGGGAGCGCCTGCTATGCTAAGAAGCTTAAATAATTCCAAACACAAAATGATTGCGATGGGATCAAGTGCAGCGTTGAAAAATTTGCTTAGCGCTAAACCACAGCAACCTCTGCTTTCGCAGCTGGACAGCACTTCTCTGTCTTTAGACCTGCCTGCTTTGCCAACATTGGGTGCTAGAAAACAGAAGGCTCTTCTGCAAGATTTAGATAGTAATTTATCGGAGTTGTACGAGAACATTGAGAAAGAATCTCCTATTAAATTGGCGAAAAGCGATAAATACATTCCATCAAACGATTTTATCCCTATGCATTCATCGCAACCTATTGACTATTCTAAAAATGCAAGTAGCATAGAAACAGAAAATATTAGCAATGCTTTTATGAGCCTTAATATTAGTGAACCATCTACCAGCTTCACAAGAAGCACTCCTAGAGCAAAGTCTAGAATACCTCAGAGTCATGGTAGCACAAGCTTACCTTATATGTCTTCTAGTGATAAAAGATCCTCATCTTCCACTTACGTATCGAGAAATAAATTTTCCGACTGCGCCTATGAGGATGAAATAGTATCTGATCAACCTATAGATTATAGCGTAAAATATTCCGAAACGAAACCACCAGCTGGCGAAGGTAACAAAGTAATAGTTAAAGCTGAAAAGGACGATTCTTTTTACAATAAACCCAAATCTGATGATGAAAGTTTCAGTATTTACGCTGAAACTGATTTAGATCAACCCACAGACTACTCTCTAAGATATGCGGAGGACGATTCAGATTCTGATATTTGCAACAAATCATCTAAAGCGGAGTTTGTTCAGGATACCGTTAAAACTTACTGTACTGAGGATACTCCGTACGAAACACCATTTAACTTTTCAACGGCTACTTCTATGTCTGACTTACGTCTAGAAGATAAGACGGTTATAGATAACGATAAATCGACCAAAATTTTGCCCAAATCCAAGGAAATTAAGAATGAGGACGAAAAAGAACGTTGTTCGACTGAAGATATATCTGAAATAGAGAATCTTCCGAAAAAAGACAAAATTCCTAAATCAGAGTTTAGTTCTGGGCTAATGTCGCCTGAAAAGCCCATAAACTATTGCGAAGAAGGCACTCCCGGATACTTCTCAAGAGTTAGCAGTTTTGGATCTCTAAACTCCATACCAGTCAATGAAACATTGAAAGATGTAAAGGAAGAAACATCGTTAGAACCGGAAGTTGTAGAGAAAACCATAGTGGAAAAACAGGTCTTCAAGTCACCAGCCGAAAGCAAAGTTGTTAAATTTGAGCAACAAGTAAATTATGCGGAAGAGACTCCCTTAATGTTTTCGCGATCCAGCTCGCTTGCATCTTTGGACAGCATCGAACAACATTCCATTCACGACGATAGAAGCTCTGTGGTATCTGATTTAAGTCGTTTGACGAGCGGAATCGTATCTCCAAGCGACTTACCAGATTCTCCGACCCAAACTGTGCCTCCAAGTCCTAAACCGAGAAAAATACCAATAGAGTTCCCGTCTTCGTCAAAATTAAGATTAAATGATGCGAGACCGCAACCGGCTCCAAGAAATTTACCAAAACCCAGTGTTTTCGAGGATAATTGTACGAAATTCAAGGAGGAAAGCACTCCAGTGCAATTTTCCACGGCTACTAGTCTTAGTAGTTTGACTATTGATGATCATGATGAACACCAGCAAGAACAAGACAGCAATACTTCGGTAGAAGCAAACTCTGTGAAGGAAGAATCCACAGAAAAACGAGACGCTGAAAAAGATTCCACCATATCAGACGGTAATGATGATTTGGTGCAAGAATCATCAGATGATGAAGATATTTTGGCGGCTTGCATAAATATTGGTATGCAGAACAATAGGTAAGTTACTCAAACGTAGCTTAATTATATTAGTATTATTGTTGAAAGATTTTGTTAATTTTTTGTCCATTTGTCCATGTTTGATAAAAAAATCTTCTATACTTGACCCAAAAAATAGAATTGTGTTTAAAATGACTGAAATTTATGGTAACTTTGTTTTTACATTGCATGAAAAAATATTAAACTTTTAAAATCAATTAGTTTTTAAAAAGAACTTTTTTATTTTTCATAAAAAATTTAATAATAAACTTATCAAAAAAATTAGTTTAATTTAAGAGAGCAAAAGTAGGTGTCTTACCAGAGTTTAAATAGCTTAAAATATTTAAATCAATTTTTTGTTTTTAAAAAATTTAATTTTTATTTTCATAAGAAAATGTGACCGACTTTAAATTGCAAATATCCGTTTTTTGTTTGTTTTTTGATTATTTTGCTGTAAAGTGGTCATTTTTGACGACTTTGAGTCGCTGTATCTTCGTTGCTGTTCATTTGATTTGTACAAAATTTTTAGGGTATACTAACAAAAATACGGTCTTGAACAGCATATTTTTTATTTACTTACTTAAAAAAATTTCCCCAAGTTATTTTTCGAACGTTTTTTCATTATTAAATAAAAGGGCTCTCGAAAAACCCTCGAACACGTAAACTAAGTTAAAATATTTTTATCCAAAATTTCATAAAGAATAATAAAGGCGTTTTAGAGTTAGATTTTTTTTACAGTGGTTCCAAAAATTATGGCCAACACTATATACATATATATACACAGGGTGTTTCATAATATATGCGCAGGACTTCAGGATGTGATAGCTCATCCAAAAAGATGAAAAAAGTCGCTATTAACTTACCCTCTAAAATGCACAATTTTCGAGATACAGGGTGTTGAAATTTTAGAAAAAAAATCGTTTTTTTAGATTATCTCTGGAACCGTTTATCGTACAAAAAACAGCTTTTGTAAGCATTTTCTACTCATAATAAGCTATGTTTTGTGCCAGAAAAAATTTTTTTTTACTCATAATTGGTGGAGATTTTGAAGGGGTAGCGGGTGTTTTTCTCCTCAACTTCAACGCCCCTGAAAAAAGTACGGTTTTGAGAGGCCCATTCGAACCGCCAATGTTTTCTACAGAAAAAAGGTACTCTTGGTCATAAGCTCTAGAGTTGACCGTTTTCGATAAAAATCAACTTTTATGTTTAAAAACATGGTCAATTTTTTGAAAAAAAAATTTTATTACTAATTAAACAAAATTTATTTTAACGTTAGAAAAAGTAACAAAACCAAACGATAATTGCAAAATTAAAAAAAATATAAAAAATGATTTTTTACTCAAATGCTGAAATGTGCGAAATGCGTTACCTTTACTGTTTGGAGAATTAAGCAAAGACAACTTTTAAATCATTTTTTATTTTGCAATTATGGTTTGGTTTTGTTACTTGTCCTAACGTTAAAATAAATTTTGTTTAATTAGTAAAAAAAAAATATATTTTTTTTAAATTGACCATGTTTTTAAACATAAAAGTTGATTTTTCTCGAAAACGGTCAACTTTAGAGCTTATGACCAGGAGTACCTATTTTGTGTAGAAAACATTGGCGGTTCGAATGGGCCTCTCAAAACCGTACTTTTTTCAGGGGCGTAGAAGTTGAGGAGAAAAACACCCGCTACCCCTTCAAAATCTCCATCAATTATGAGGAAAAAAAATTTTTTTCTAGCACAAAACATAGCTTATTTTGAGTAGTAAATGCTTACAAAAGCTGTTTTTTGTACGATAAATGGTTCCGGAGATATTCGAAAAAAACGAATTTTATTCTAAAATTTCAACACCCTGTATCTCGAAAATTGTGCATTTTAGAGCGTAACTTAATAGCGACTTTTTTCATCTTTTTGGATGAGCTATCACATCCTGAAGTCCTGCGCATATATTATGAAACACCCTGTATAATGAGTGATAAATATGCGAATGCATGATCAATGTATTGTAATTGGTTGTGTCCATTTCTCTCTTGCTTGTTGGCTATAAATAGTTATGTATTCCTATATATATATTATATTAAACATTGTATTAAACTTTATATTAAAAACTATTTAAATTTACAGACATAATAAATCAAAAACTCCATCACCAACACCTAAGATTCCAATGCCTGGTTACAAATACGCGAACAGCATCCAAAGCGGCGGCGGAGTCCATTCAAGCGGTATTCCGCTACCGAAATCCTTGCAACGCGCCGTACCTGTTAGCAGTCATTCAAACACTCCGAATACCAGCGCAACGGACACAGTTAAAACCTACTTCACTGAAGACACGCCCGCCATCCTTAGTCACGCAGGCTCTAATTCCGACTTGAGCTGTTTGTCAATACCCACTGATGTCAAGAGCAAGAAAGATTATCTGTCTGATGACAGCAGTAATCTGTCCGGTGACAACGATAACATCCTGGCGGAATGCATACAATCCGGCATGCCGAAATCCAAGATCACCAAACCGACTGGTTTGCCGAGGAGGAATGTTCATTCAAGTACTCCATTGAAATATGCCAGGAACGATGTTAAAACTAATAAACCTGACAATAAGGAGGAAAGAAAAGCTAGTAACGTTCTAGCCCCCTTTTTGTCTGCCAAAGATGAATTAAATACCTATGGAATTGAGAACAGTCCATGCCAGTTTTCATTGAGATCCAGTCTAAGTGATTTAACAATTGATGGAAGTGTAGCAGGACTAACAAAGTAAGTAAAACAATAGATCTAGATGTAAATAGAGTGGATGGATTTTTATAATTTTCCGTACTAAAATAATTTTATTAAAAACAAGTCGACCATGGTGCAACATGTTTAATTAATTATAAAATTCTGAAATTCTTATTTCTACTATAGTATTTAAACCTAACCGCCTTAATGATCATATCGATTTAATATATTATAATAAAATGGTTAAATTAAAGGATTTTTATCGTTAAAAGTTTTTTAAATAAATTTACTAATTTTTATTTTTCTACAAGCGTGCGGAAATTAACAACTTTTCGCACGCATAACCGTGCAGAAAGTTGCACTTTTTTTTTGCACGCTCAACAGTGCGGAAAGTAGGAACTTTCCGCACGCTTGTAGAAAAAATATTTGCGAGATTGCCTTGCTTGTAAATAAAATATTGTAACTAACTAGTGCGAAAAGTGTTACTTTTTATCACGCTACTGCTGTTGAGTGAAAAAAACGTTAAATTTAACGTTACGTTTATTTTCTTTAATTAATTAAATAATTAATAAAAAAGAAAACTAAACATTAAATTGAATCTAATTTAAAATCAATTTAATGTTTAGTTTTACGGTTTTTTCCTGTAATAAAGGACATTTTATTAGATTATTTCCCTCATTATAATATGAACCAATCAAAAGCCTTGAATTTTCGAATAAATTTCGTTTAAATAAGCGATTAAATCACTAGGACTATTTAACAGCGATTAAATTTTAGCCTCCATATTGGATTTTTGTTTACGATTACAACATAAAAATTTTATGTTGTTATTTACAAGTTTTAACAAACATTTTTTAAAAAACAATAAAAAATAAGTTATCTAGTTTACGAAATATCAATTATTACTTATTACATACCTTAAATTAATGGAATTTTCTTTAAAAAAATATTTATAAATTTTGACACTTACGTCAGATTTTATGAATTGTCAAATAATTTCATTTAATTCGAGGAATAATCTAAACGTATATCACTCAACCTATAAATTTAATCTGTCAAACTATGCTCAGTAAGTTTTTTATTTTATTTTTCTTTTTGGAAAATAGTTTCATGCAAAATAATTAAAAACAAAACCCCTCGACCGCTACGCGGTCTCGTGATTTTATTAAATTATTTTGCATTCAACATTTTCCAACAAAAACCAAACAAAAAACTACTCAGCCTAGTTTAACCGATTAAATTCATAGTTCTCGTGATATAATATATGATTAAAATAATGTTGATTGCTGCTTTTATTAAAATGTCAAAGACAACTTTTCCAAGGCCCCCCAAATTTTTCGTTTTTTTTTCGACACTTCAAAACCCTAATTTAGATATAGAGTTGTAAATACCTAAGTTAATTTTTCAAACTTTGCACTTGACATGGTTTGCATATGATAATTCGCATAAAAGCTATAATAAAGCTGTAACAAGTTTTAATTTAAAATTACAGTTACTGATATAATAATGCCCCTATTGCAACACATAATTTCGAATGCACATACTTACCTATTTATTACAAATGATTAAGAGTTAATTAATACTGTTAGCTTGGTTATTTCATGCGGACTTTTATTACTTTTAGATGTGTCTCTGCAAATAATGAACTGGCGTCAAACAATCAGCCATCTTCTTCTGGAACAAGATATAAACGTAAGTAAAAGTTTTTTTAATTAACAACATTTGGCATTATTTTGTTTTGTTACTAGTTCAGGAAGTTACTTTTAACAGAACAAGTTAAATATTCGAATATCTATGTAGTACTTTACTTCCATGTATCATACAATATAATGTTTACACCGCACTTCCAGTAATATATTGGCGTAACTGAAAATTAATAGTTTCGTGTTATTAAATTGTAAAGATTCTAATTGGTTTATTACAATAGTTTTATTGAGTTACCTATATATATAATATATGCAAGGTGTCACTGAAGTCGCACACCACCATAAAGGTGTATGACCTACAGACCCCCAGGAATCCCAGATAATTGTTAAAAACAATCTACTAACCTTCGTTATTTAAAATGATACATATATTCTTTAAATATATTTTACTAATAAAGTGGTAGTTTAATTCTTAATTATTATGACAACAAACAACAAAATAAATTAGCCAAATTCGGTACTCTAATTTAGAGTTTATTTACAGATGCAAATACAGGAGCTTATAAAACCATATAAACAATAAACAAATATTAAAATTACATTGACACACACAAACAGGCTAAATGATTTTTTTATTTTCTAAGCTTTCTCCAAACACAGCTAGTATACATATATACATGTCTGTATATAACAGAAATGCTACGACCACAATAATTGTGGCTACGACGTAATCTAGTTTTGAATTTTAACTGTCAATCATTTTCTATGGTTTGATGTCAAAGGATTACAATAAATGAAGCAATTAATTTTATTGTTTAGGCATTAGGAATTTAAATTTTAACTGTCAATCATTGGCTATAGTGTGGCGGATCAATTTTCAAGTTCAAACATGTATTCCTAACCTTAATGTGTACCTTCTCACAAATTTTTTTTGAACAATCGATTCCTAGGGGGTATGTAGATCATACATATTTAAGGTGTTGTGCGACTTCTAAGATAAAGTCAACACCGTTATCTGTGTCTGCGGAAAGAATGCGGGCTAAAAATGTTTGGGGTTTTGTCGCAAAATTAATTATTTTCTTTTAAAATAAACAGCAATAATTGTAAAGTTTTTTATTACATTTAAATATATCGCTGCAGCACGCGAAAAAAAGTTTCTGCTTAAGGTTAATAACAGTAAGAGAACACTTTTGTACTTGATACTGATCTTCAGCATTTTTCTTTTTAGATATGTACTTTTAGGATTTATTCATCTGTGTTTTTATAATTATAAATATCTTGTATGTATTTAATAATTGGAAAAAAAGACCCATTACTTTTATTATCTATTTGGGATTGACTGAATTACATTTAATACAATATTTGGAATAATATCTTGCCACCAGTCATGTATAGTTTCCCATAAATTCTCAGATTTTAGAGGCCTGTAATGTTGTTGATATTTTTTTTACAATTGGGTCATTTTCAAGAAACACCCGCTTTCAGGAAAATGAAGATCAAATTTTTTTTTTGCTTAAATTGACTTTTGGTTGGATTTTTATAAATGTTTAGAGTTTTGTTTACTTACATTTAAGACAGGCAGTGCACTTTTTAATTTTGTTTACGTTTTTTTCAGAAAAATGTGTTTAGCTAGCTTTATATGTATATCTCCACTGTGTTACCAATTTGAAATCCTAAATTCAATTCAATAAAAAAAGTTGTTATAAAAATAATTTGAAATAAAATGTACTTAGTTCACAAACTTTTGACTCCAATTTTTTATTTTATTTTTTATTAAAAATTGTATGCCTTTTTTAAATATTTATGTTAGTTAAGTTACTTTTTAAAAGACACCATTCCGATTCTTTGTTAAAAAAAACAATACCATTAATATTTTCTTTTAGTAACTGTATTAGATAGTTAAACTTATTCATTTTAAGGATTTTTTTTTAACAAAAACTAAAAAAAGTAACGAAATAGACATTGGTATCACAACGGACTGGGGTACACAAAGGACTTAATCAGATAACGTAAAAAAGAAACTATATAGGGTGGTACGATTTTAGAGTAATGCATAAACAAAATCCCTTGTAGTGGTGCTCACTTGCAGAATAAAAACTTAGATTTCTAAATTATAGACACCCTTTTTCTTTGACTATAAGCTGGTGAAGGTCTTTCGTCCCTTTTAGTACTTGTATATTGCGTGGAATTTTCCCTTGGATGTAATCTATATCATGAGTTGTAATCACAAATAATTTTAAATTGGTTTATCATATACTACTTTTAATAAAAGCGACGGTAAATATCCACTTTGTTGTCGAAAAATTCTATTGCGTTACCCTAAATTCCATTGCGTTACCATAAGGTAACGCAATGGACTCGGTAACGCAGTGGAAAAAGTTTTGTGAAACCATATTTAAAAAATAATAATAAGACATTACAGTCATCAATTACTCTCAATGAGCTTTAGTGCCCTAAAATAAATATAAACATGAAAAATAGTATTTTTTCTTACCTTATTTTTATTATTTTTTTGAGTAACTTAGCGGACAAGCAATTATTACATTCGCGTTAACCGCACCTGTTTCAACCGATCTTCCTGATTGAATAAATAAATTCAGCTGGGTAATGTGTACGTCCGAACATCATTTGTTGATCACGTGGGTGCCAAAAAAGTTGCCATATATATGTTTTTTTAAATATTCTATCTGGGACATGAGTCAAATTTAAAAAAAGTAGATTAAAATTAATTAATTTATATAAAAATTAGGTTGTTGATTATATAAATTGTTTACTGTATTAACTAAGGATGTTATGGATTGCTATAAAGCAACACAAAGTTCTGGTTATTCAATATTAAAAAAAAAACATGTATGTCAGTTTTATAAAATGCTAATGGGACATGCGAAAATGTGTGTTTTACAAGTTTCAAAATTAAAAAAAATATATTCTGAAATAACTAAACAAACATTTTCTGGAAGAGTTTACTAAGGGCTTGTTGTGCTTTCACTTGGTTTTTAAATCAATAAGATCCGATAATTTTTAACAAAGTTATTGGAATTCAAACTTACGGACAGCGGAAGGCAGGTGTTTTTTTAAAACGACCCAATTATACCCCAAATATTTTTGATTGGATTAATATCGGGACTATAAGCAATTATATTTTCGATTGGATTAATATCTGGACTATAAGCGGCCCTGGGCAGCACCTCTACATTATGGGTTTGAAACCAGTGGGTAACAGTATTATTAAAACCATTACCTACTGGTGCAAAATTTATATAACAAAAATATTGGTTTTCTAGGTAATAATTTTCATGCTAAATCTACCTGTGTTACATAATATTCAAAAAAGCATTAAGAAATTCCTAATGGGAAATACCTAATTTATTTATTGTTAGCAATTTTATTTAAGGGGGCAATATTTTAAATGTGTGATTGTTTTATATAATTCTATTGTTATATCAAAATTAAAATAGGTTTAACAGTGGCGAATTATTTGTTTCCATTTGATCATTGAGAATATTATCAGTATTTTTAGGTTTGTTAATTTCTAAAGACTTCAATAGATTAAATTTTGTGCCTTTATTTTTTAAAGGTAATATTTTGAAGTTGTTATTATATTTATGGTTTTCTGTAATTAGATGTGTCGCGTAAGCTGAATCAAGTTTTTGGTTTATTAATGATCTACAATGTTCTTTAATTATGTGCAGCTGGTCTATTTTTTAGTTTAGATTTCTTGACCCTTTTGCTGGAGGTGGGTTGAGAGCCTGGAAATTCTGTATCAATAAAAGCATGCCTTGCTGTTGCAAATGGGTTATTTCTTAAATATCCCAAAAAAGCAGCATGCTGTTCAGGGGTGGACAGTTTGAGGCGAACTATACCAACTCCGGTTTAGTAAATCTTCCTTTTACCAGCGTTGTTTAATTTGTAATATAGTTTTTTAATTTTATTAAATTCTTGATACTTTTTGAGCCTTTTTAACTGACGAGGCATTTTTATTTTGTACTGTTAGTTATAGCCGGTTTTATTGCAATAATTTTGACAGTTCACTCTAATTATTGGATGCTTTTTTATGAATAAAATTGTATATGGGTGACTTCATTGTTTTTAAACATTGGTGACTCATTAAAACTATTTGAATAAACCAATTGGAATCTTTACAATTTAATTACTCCAAACTACTAATTTTGAGTTACGCTAATATTTTACTAAAGGAGTTTAACTAACATAACCTACTTTTAAAAATAATTTTTTCTACTCCTATTATGGAATATGACCGTTCTAATATCACTTTTATCTATGGAATGACATAATATTCATTCCATAGATAAAAGTGATATTATATTCCGTAGTGATGCAGAATGAAATATTCTATCATCTGATGACAGAAGAAACACTCGTGGCGACATCTCTGTTTGTAATATCTAACAAATTTTAGACCGATCCAACCTCACTTTCTTCCAATTAAATTATTTGTCTATGGTATTTTTTGGAAACGTAGAAAAAGTATAGTCTGAAACACGTTTGGAATGACATATTCCCCTCTCGTGAAACCGTCAAACTCGGCCTCGGCTCGTGTGACAAACTTTTCACTCGAGCGGAATATGCCGTATTCCAAACTTGTTACAGAATATAAAATTTCTTTATGAAAGCAGCTGTCACCTAATTATCAGAAGAACAAAATAAATCATTTCTTTGCATAATTTAATAAGTAAATAAATAAATTTCATTACATTATTTTTTCTAAATGAATGGTGTTATGCAACAGGGAACCAACCCTCACTGTTGCAAAACTAAGATAATAGCCGAAAAATGACGTGGTTTATTCATTACTGTGGTCTTAATTATAGATTCAACGGTTTAATTTTATTTCCAAATCGCTAATTTAGTACTAAATTTTTATTTCTTATAATATTTTTTTCATTATTTTCAATAAAATAAGTAAATTTGTTGGTTGGTACCTTGTAGAATAAATAAAACAATTTTTATTATAACATGGAAACCATCATTTGTGATAAGGTGATAAATAGATTTAAAATCTTTTAATTTTAGCTTTGAGATCCTCCTGATCTCTTTTTTTTTTGAAATATTTATTTTGTCATATAAAACCATTGATTCATTTTTATCCAACATTTCAACTTAAACCAGATCCAAGTAGCATGGATCCTTGTTACAGTATAAATATATTGCGTTTAGTCAAAAGTAACGTTAACCAAGTTGCTTGGCACTGTATAATCTTTCACAATTTCAATATATAAGGGAAAGTTGGCACAACCATGCAGCTTAAAACTTTGTTGAGATTTAAAAACTTTGATTTAAGATTTCTATATTATTTTAAATATTTTCAAAAGGTGGCCCTACATGGCCCCATTACGTTAATACATTTATTAGGGGGGATGGTTCCCTGTTGCATAACACCATTCAAATTACCTGTAATTTTTCAAGGCAACATATTTCTATTTTGATACTGTACAACATAAAATTTATATATTTTTTTATAAAATTTACACTTTATTTCCTATTTTAGAACCTTTAAACATTTCTCAAGAAAACAACGCAAGCTTAAGAGACCGCGAATCACTATCGTCCATCAGTGTTGAATCTCTAGAGTCCATAGAAGCAGAACAGGCTCTCCTAGAGCAGTGCATATCTTCGGGTATGCCAAAAAGTAACGCTGGCATGACACCAATGAAACCCTTGGACATATCAAACGCGAAAAAGCCTGTAGGAATTGCAACTAAGCAGTTTGCCAGTAAGGAGGAGGCAGTGGATAGCGAGGGGTCGAAGCCAAAAAACGTGAATGTTGCGTCTGTTGTCGGGAGCACAAAAATAGTCAACGCAGAGTGTCCGGCCATGTCACCCGCGGCAGCAGACGTAGAAGAAAATCAAAAACGGGAGAACGCGATCAACGAGGCCAATTACCAAAATCGCAACCAAGAAGCGTTGCCTTCAAAAGAGACCAAATTAATACGTAAGTTTAGTTAAAAATATTATGTTATGTAGTATACAATAATTGTTTTATATTATTACCCGTTATTACCGCTATAATACAATATAAATATGGAAGTTTTTGTTAGTTGGATTTTCATTTAAAAATCTTGGGAATAATTTGTGGTTTGTAAAAATTTTCAACCTTAAAATAGATCGTGTAATAGCAGCCTCGCCATTCAAAGGAGCCCTGACACCTTAGTATTTAAAAGTCAGATAAATAATACACATTACATAGGGGTCTTTTCATCTCAAATCGGCCAGGCAAAAAGTTCGTTATTTTTCAACAATTTTCGATTAGAAATCGATTAGACCCGTATTTTTTCTTTTTGCTTAAATTTGATTTGTTCGCCCGTAGGAAATTTTTGAAAAATTGGCAAAAACATCGATGTTTTTTTACGATTGACATTTTTTCATGAAAATAACGATAACTTGTCGAAAAATGTTTCGATCGTTACAATTTTTTTTTAAATTGTAGGTAAATGTTTACATACAAAAAAATATATAAAAAATTAAGTGAATTAACTGAATATTTTTTTAAGTTGTTTTTTCTAAAAAAGGTGAAAAAAATTGAGGTCAAAATGTTGACATTGCCACATTTTTTTACTTCATATTTTTTCCCTTTAAGTTGAAAATATTAACAACTTTTACCAAAAGTCCCGAGTTGGCAAAATTCGTCGTTTCGGAATTATTTTTTTAATAAAAATGCCATTTTCTATTAAATTCGTAGTTCATCGCAAAAATTTGTTATTTTATCTAGGGTCCACGGTGTACCTGAACGAAGTTTAAGTCACATCAAAATGCCGCCAAAAACTGATTGCAGTTTCTTGTTCAGGACCCTTTGGTGACTTAAAAATGATATTTATCAAAATCCTAGCTGCTCCTCTTTTCGAAATTTCATGATTTTTTTTAAATTTTTGTTTATTTAAAGTCTACCTTTGACATAGTACACATTTGATTTTTATTGAATTAGAGTATATTTTGAGGAGACTTAAAGAATACTTTTTAATACTGTTCACATCATTTGATATATACAGGGTGAGCCAAAAATCGCTTATTTTTAATAAAGCAAAACCGTAAATTCATGATTTTGGCATAACACGCAAAAAAGATTTATCCCCATTTTTTTAGGTAGTTCTACATTTATCAGGTTACAAAATGGCATTCTTATGAACCTTTTATAAAAAAAATAGATTTTTAATAAAATTAAATAAAATAACGCTTAGAGAATATTTAAAATGTTGTTTAATTTAGGCTTTTTAGTAGTTTTCAATTTTGGACGAAAAACTGGTTAAAGTTTTTTGATGGGCACTCTTTGGAGATTTAAAAACGATATTTACCAAAATTCTAACTGTTTTTTTTAAATTTGTTAAAAAATCATTTTTTTTTAAATTATTTGTTTATTGCAAAGTCCACCTTTGCCAGAGTACAAATTTGTACACCGATTTTTATTGATTGCAGTTTCTTGTTCGGGACCCATTGGTAACTTTAAAATGATATTTACTAAAATCCTAGCTGCTCCCCTTTCGGAATTTTTTGAAATTTCTTAATTTGTTTTTTTTTTAAATTTTTTATTAAATTAATTTTAAAAGATATTTATCTAATTTTGTTTTACACTAATCCATTCTCCATCTACATGTGGTAAAACAATTTTAATTTATATATTTAATTTTTTTTCAGAAGCAAAGAAGAGTGGATCTAACAAATCCATTCACGCATACATACAAGACAAAAGCATAAGCCATTCTGAGGAAGAATGCAGCGATTGTCAACTAAAAGACGACTTTGAAAGTTGCCTGGAACGAAGCTGCGAACTATCAGGCAAAGTTGTCGATAATAGAATGCTGGACCCAGAAGCCATGATTGAATCTCTAGACAGATTCACGGCCGAGTTAATATCGCAAGCTAGCCAATGCAAAACCAATGAGGACGACTTATATAAAATATCTAACTCCGAGAATACTTGGAATGACGACACTTCACCGAACGAAGTGACTTTTCCAACCATATCCAGCAACGCTCCCAACGTGATAACGTTTAAAAGCGACGAAGAAGTATCCAATCATTTCGAATGCGATGTGGTGGATGGTGTGGAAGGCGAATCCAACGAGTTTTCGTCAATAAACACTTCCACCATGACCGAGTCCACTTTGATTGCTATGGAAGCGAATAAAATTGCCCACGTATTCAAAACTGAGGCAGAAATGTCATACAGTATTGGAAGTGTGGCTTCACTGGAACTAGATAGAGTACAACCTCCGTCTAACATGAACTCTTTGACGAATAGCGCTGCGGGATTGGAGCGAATCATACCTAAAAGCCCGAGATTGGTGTCAAGGAAGAAATCTTTACCAGCTGGTCTTATGATAAGAAGAGCGTTGAGTAACTCGTTAAACCACGGCTCTAGTGTTGAAAGCCTGGAGAATCAAAGTATATCTAACTTGGACCACATAAATCCGCCATCTGAGATCAGAGATGTTTTCGATATGGAAGGAAGTATGTGCAGCGTTGCAAGTTTACCGCACGAAAATTCTTCCTCAGAAGTAAAAGCTGATTTTGTAATCAACGGTCCAACAAACAAAGACTTTCAGAACATTCAGGAGCACAATCCGATTTTTAATATCAAACATAGTTTCCTTGGATCAATGACCGATTTGGATAACATGAATCCGCCATCTTTATTTAACGAAATCACGGATATGTGCAATTCGTTGGCTGACGTGCCAACTGAAGCCATTTGCAGCGAAACTGAAGTTTTCGAAGATTGCTTCACTCACATCGCAGATACAACTCTGCAAGAAGACCTTACGGAGTTTTCCGATGCAAATAGCGCGACACCAATTCAATCAGATTTTGGGTCCAGCAGTAACGAATCTACTCCGAAGAAAACCAAAAGTCTCAGCAAATCTATGAATTCCAAACAGAAACGCAACATGGCGAGGGACCGTTATAAAACGTACACGGTCGCAGCCGAAATGGTGATGCGCGAGGAGGAAGAAAAACAAAAACTAACTGAATCAATATCAGAAAATTTTGAAACAGTCGCTTGTTCAGAGAGCTACAACAGCGTTGCCGATACCACTTACGTGACCCCGACTTATACTGTTTCCAGTTCATCCAAACTTACGCCCAAAGAGAGAAGAAAAGCCGACAAGTCTCGATTTGAAACGCAAGTCCTTGACGAAGCTATCACGCAAATATTGCAGCAGCCGGTAATTGATAGTCCTCCAAAAAGTGAAGCTTTAGAGGAGGGCACTAAGAGTCCTGCGAAAACTAAATTAAGTATACGACAAAATTTCATGCAAAAACGGCTTGAAAATAAAGAGAGATTCAAAACGCAAACGTTGAACGAATCGAGTTTTTCACCAGATGTTTCTTCAGTATCGAACGGAGAATCCGACATGCACTTACTAGTTCAGCAAGAAGCCAACTTGATCTTAAAAACCTTAAGCGAAACAAAAACCAACGCCGATGAATTACTGGACTGCGAAACGGTCAGTTTAGTTTCGAATGACGAGGACTCTGAACACAATTCTGGGTGTTCTATAAACTATAGAACATATCACAAGAGTTGGGGCTTTAGGAAAAACAACGTACCAGTCATTCAATCGAACTTGGTTCAGGGCGAAAACGATCTTGCAAATTACCAACAGGGCAATTTAGACAATGATCCGCAAATTGAAGAATCCGATCAACAATCAGAGGACGAATCCGAGGAGGAAGTAAAAGTCATAGGCAAACCAAAAATAACTAAACCTGGAGAGAAGATTCAGAAGGTCCAGGAGGAACCGGAAGTTAAAGCGATAAGAGGACGTAGAAAGCCGTTGTTTTCCAAGAGTAATTACGGTAACAAAGCAATCTCAAAAACTGTAAAACCTGTTAAGACCGTTAATTCCAACTTACTAAAAAATGTTACCTCAACCTTCAAGACCGGAACCAATATAAAACCCACTGCGAATAAACAAAACGTGACGGTAAAGCCACCAATTTCTCAGAGTAGAGTGTCCAGTGGTTATGGCAGTCAATCACTTTCGCCAAAAACAAGTCCGGCTAGACTAATTAATAAAAATAACACACGGCCTTCCATTACACCGCCGAAACAAAGTTTAACTCCAAAAAGAACGCCTTCCTTAGAAAGACAAGGCACATTTACTAGAGACGATCCTCAACCTCAGGTAGTTAAATCAAAAATTCCAGCGCCTACCTCGAAAATTCCATCTTTCACATCCAAAATCGCTAGATCAATTATACCAACATCGCAAAAACCAACAGTAAATGGGAACAGATTACCTGGTGCTCCGAAAAACGCAATAAAATCTGCCAGTACCGACAGAACAAGTAGAACAAATAAAATATACAACAGATCTACAAGCGCAGATAGCAGGGAACAAGCCCCTAGAAATATACAAAGCTCATGTTCAAGCCAAAGTTTAAAAAGCGAAACCAGTAAGCCTCAAAACGGAGCTGTTAAAAAGTCCGGAATACCGGCAGCAGCGCAAAGATCAAACAGTAATAGCAGCATAACCTCAACTGGCAGCGCCAAAAAGCAGGTGACCAGTAAAATTGCTAGCTTGTGGAAAAAAATCGAGCAGTCCAAAAACAAAGTACCCAAAAATGACAGTAGGGTTTGGATTCAGGCTGAACAAGAGCAGGAACCGCCTAGATTAATTCGTAGTAATACATTTGATAATAAGGATCAAGTGAAATTAAGGAACAAACCTCCAGGCAGTGAAAGCCCCACCAAACGCGTTTCGCGTCTTGGGTCATTCATTGTTATGGATGAAGATGGCGTTGCTATACCGCAACCGATTTGTGCTGCGAACGTTTAATTTTTTTTATTTTTAGTGTAAATTTTATCACAGGAGATCACATGTTAAAATCAACTTGTTCTAACTTAATTTTGATACATGGTATAAATACAATATATACAATTTGATTTTAAAATGTTTAGTCATGTCAGTGAGTTAAGTTATTTTGTTGGAATGTTTTGTTTGTCATAGCCATATTAATGTATTTCTAGTCGATTTTTTAATATAAGCATTTATACTTATGTAAAGACTGTATATTTATTTATAATATTTAGTTTGTGATATTATATTAGCTGTCTAGTTTTATCAATGTAAATATAAATAAATTTTTAGGGTTAGCTAGTTATAGACTAAAACACTTCACATGTAGTTTTATATAATGTTTATATTTATTATTTACTTAGTGTCACTTGTTATGTATAAATGATTACAAGTTTTAATTTAACATAGCATACTTAATTACAATGTAATGTTATTACTATATTATTCATTTTTTTTTTCAATATATTGCTTAAAATTTAAACCACCTTTTATTTAGTATACGATAAAATACTTTTTTAAGAATTTTAAACCCCTAGGGTGCAGCTGCCTCCCATGTCACAGTCTTGTCCCCCTCACCTAATTGGGAAATATAAAATATTACTAGATCCACCTCAATTAAAGGGTTTGGTTATTTAAGGTGTATAACAAAATAGTTAACTTAAGTCTTAAGGCTAACAAAATTATTTTTGAAAAATAATATTTGGAAAGAACGACGCATTTTATAATACATATACAGGGTCCGGCATCAGAATTGAACGGTTTAGAAAAGGCTGCTATGGAAATACTATTGATTTGGTATATGTCAAATAATGACAGACTTATACCTTATTGCCGAAGGTTTCGTGTGCAATGTCAAACTGGCCGGTTAATCAACGGATCTTTGCTGTAAATTCGTTTACCCTGACCCAGTCCTTCGTACAAACGCAGAGACGCTTTCGTCGTGAATATAATTTTTTTAGTGCGAGCTGAAGTCCCATAAAAAAATGCCATTTTGAGATGGGTAAGAGATTTTAACGAAAGAGACAGTGTATAATCAAAATTTTCCGCTGGAACTCGTACAGTTTGTACACAAGAAAATATTGGAAGAGTCAGAGAAGCGTTTGAGCGGATTGCTATACACATTTCAGACCGAAGTTTGCTACGAATGTTATATCTGGATTTAAAACGTCATCCAAAAAACCGACAGTCCAGAGGCTAAATCTCATTGATAAAGTCAATCGACTCAATTTTTGCACACAATTTTTAATTGCCATTGTACACGAAACTTTCGGCAATAAGGAACAAGTCTGTCACTATTTGACATATATTAAATCAATATGTAGTATTTCCATAGCAGCCACGAAACTTTCGGCAATAAGGTACAAGTCTGTCCCTATTTGACATCCCTTGCGGCCTTGAGTTCACGGTTTATTCACCGTGAATCCACGGTGAATTCATCGTAAACTCACCGTGAATAAACCGTCTGTTTGTGACATTTGTAAACGGTAGTTAGACGGTGAATTCACGCACTTTTCACAGTATTTTAATTGTGAATCCACCGTATTTTGGCGGTATATTCACAGTGAATTCACGATGAATAAACCGTGAACTAAAAGGCAAGGGTAGGTATATCCTATAGGTTTAACACGACTATAGCTAGCCATTATTCGTTACTGAGCAGATGAGGATTAATGTTCAGCTATGCCATTACAGACGCACACTTCCAACTAAATATTGTAACCCAACGCTATTTATAGTTAGCTCGCTTGCGTAAGCAGCCGTGAGATGTATTGAGTTCACCGTGAATTTACCGTGAAATCACCGTGAATTAACCGTGAAATCACCGTGAATTTATCGCAAAAACAGCGCGAGTTCACCGTTTAATTACCGTCTACAAATGTCACAAATGGACGGTATATTCACTGCACATAAACGGTGTATTCACGGTGAATTCACGCAAACGGTGAATTCACCGTAAACTCAAGGCCGCAAGGGATATATCAAATCAAGAGTATTTCCATAGCAGCATTTTTAAAACCGTTTAATTATGTTGCCGGACCCTGTATTATATCATTAAAAATACGTCGTTATCTTTCCAAACACAACTCCAACTTTTAATCAACGTCCAAAAACATATTTTTTTAATAAATATAAAATAAACCAAAAAACGTGTTTTTTTTAAATCGTTTCAAACACAAATCCCACTTATTTTAACACGGATTAACAAAGTCTGAAAACATATTTTTTGGAGTAAAAAAGTTTATAATCTATAGAATAAAGTTTTTCAAATCAGTAAAATTTGCTAACGTTAGATAATTGTATGTTTTTGTGTCATGGAACTAACGTTAGGTTTCTAACAATAAATAATACAAATTTCTAACATTGAGTTTTTCATCAAAATAATTATACAAATGGCTAACGTTAGATAATTGAATGTTTTTGTCTAATTATTATAGAAATTGCTAACGTTAGTTATTTGTTGCGGAAACGTTATTTTCTACCAGAGACCGTGTGAATTACCAATTTAAGCTAAAAAAGTAGGGCATTTTGATGAAATAAATAAAACAATTTAAATACTTTGTTCCTTAGTTTTAATACATAACATATATATAAAATAACAATTACCAGAATATATACTGCAATTAATTATGTCCTGCAAAATGCCTTATACAACCATACACTTCTTAAAATTATTTACAAAACCCAGAAATACAGGAAGAACACTAATAAGACAATACCACCAGCAGCACATTTGATGTACAAAGATTGCGTATTTAAATATGTAGCATCTTTTTTATATTTTTGTGTAAGCATTGACAAATTTTGTGTTTTAGTATCCAATTCTGAAAACAAACAAAAAATAATAAAACAATGTTTAGTGTGTCAGGATAAAGTCCAAACAGAAAAATTCTTTTATTTGTAAATGTCCCATAGGAGAGATTATTTTTTTAGGCAAATAAATATTCCAAATAAAATACTTATATAATGCACATTTAAAATTAGTCATCATAGAAACAACTTAAATAAGCCCAGTAAGCTAGCCGGCCCGAATCGGCCGCGTGCGGGCATATTCGCCTGGCCGAATGTCGGCTATATTTACTCGGCCAAGTGTCGGCTGTGTATAGTTGGCCGAGTGCCGGCCACAACCGTCTGGCCATTCAAAAAAAGCCTACAGGCGTCCTGGAGAGAGGTATATCCTATAAGTTCAGTACTGAAATTCTCTGAATGGCAAGATATTTTTGTAACACACTCGACTAGCTAGACATTATTGAGCAGATGAGGATGGAGATGGGGACTTCAAACAATTAATGTTCAGCTATGCCATTTTGGACGCACACTTCCAACTAAATATTGCAACCAATCGCTATTTATAGTTAGCTCGCGTGCGTAAGCAGCCGTGAGATGTATCGCTTATGCCGCGGCAGGCTGTATTCCATCCGTAAGCGGGCCGGCTAGGGCAAGCCGAAGGATTTTGCAGCGGCATGCCGTATTCTGGCCGCCTTCGGTTAGAACATGGCTAAACGGTACCGGGGTAACATAACGCGGGCCGTAAGCTGGCCGGCTGGGGCAAGCCGAACCGCCTATGCCGAGCGAAGGCCGACTGTTTGCCGAATGTTTGGTGCTTACTGGGTATTTATTATTATTATTATTATTATTATTGAATTGAGCTTTTACAATGGCAAAATAGTTTTGAAACTGATTATACCAAAACAATGTTTATAAGGGTCATTAGTACAATATGTAATATATGTAAATTTTAATAAATAACTAATAATCTAGATGGTAAAGTGCTCACTTGGCATGCTAGAGGCACCACAATTGATATGTACCTGACATCTACACAATATTTTTTAATTTTTTTATGTTGCATTTTAAAATAATACAATTTGGTGCTAAAAATTTGGTCTAAATGGTTCAAGTGTTGTTAAAAAGTCTTTATTTATAGGTTCAAGAGTAAACAGTGACTTTTGCATTCAAATTTCAGAAGTAAAGAGTGAGTTTTGCACCTCACAGTAAGTTTTGTTTTATTTTTACTATATTATACAGTAACTTATGCTTCAAACTAATTGGTTCAATAGGTTTCTTCTAAAAATTTACATTTATAGACATATACATATGTATATCTCATTTTTTTAATTTTTGCAAAAAGTTAGTTTTGCATCTATACGGCTTATATAATATAAACTCCTGGACAAAATTAACGCAACATCATAAATTTGTCACATTTTTTATGCTATTTTATTTTTGAATTTATGATCCGATTTGAATGATTTTTTTTTGCATTGTAGGTTGGTGCCTTGACAATGTCATAATTTTCGCTGTTTATGATAAAAAATTCATTTTCGATTTATGTCTATAAAAACATGCTACGCTATAAAACAGCGTATCTCCTTTAATAAAAGAGATAATGAAGTAAACCAAAAAAGAATATGTTGGCGAAATATGGACCTACCGTCTAATGTTAACTGCTATAGGTTTCGGTTGCTAGTATACTCCACAGGGTGATACGAATTTTTGGAAAAAAACATTACATTTTTATTACACCCGGTATAAATCGAAAATGAACTTTTTATTGTAAACAGCGAAAATTATGACATTTTCAAGAAACCAACCTACAATGCAAAAAAAAATCATTCAAATCGGATCATAAATTCAACAAAAAAATAGGATAAAAAATGTGGCAAATTTATGATGTTGCGTTAATTTTGTCCAGGAGTTTATAAATATTATATTATAATGTATTTATGATTTTTTAATTTAGGTATTTAATTTAAACAATCATATCATTAAAATTAATAATGGTGGACTTGGGCTTTTTATTTGTTTAATATCTTAATGTTGCTTAATTTATTATTTTTACCTCAAAATCACAATCCACATAACAAGGTCTGTTCTATCTCATACTAAAAATCACCGCAACACTGTCAAATGTCAATTTTAAGGTTATTAACAAATTAACAAATTAACAAATTAACCTTCAAATTGACATTTGACAGCCCTGATAGAATAAGGTTTATTTTTTGAAAAAGAGGAGTAAAATGATTGTTCTTACCACTTTGAGGTCTCGTTTAAGAATTGCAAGTCTCTCAGTAAGAAACACAACGTTTAAAACGATTATTAATCTGTACAAACCCAAAGCACAAGAATTGTAAACAACAAAAATGGCCGCCATTGTATGATGTGCAGTGTTGCAGTGATTTTTAGTATTTTTAGTACAAGATCGAACAGACCTTGTGTGAATTGTGCCACAAAATATTATTTCAAAATAGTAGGTAGTATACATAATATAAAAATGTTACTTAGCTTGCAATAAACATTTAAATTATTTTCATATTATATTCCTATTAAAATATATTTTCTATTACCTGATAAAACTGTTCCTCGCTGTAATACATCATCAATGTTTTGAACCATAATTCTTTGAACATCTTGCAACTGATTGTTAATAACATTTAAATTTTTTCTAGACCTTGAATCTGAGAATGATTTTTTGGCCTTTTGAATGTATGTATCAAATTCAATAAATGTATAAGGTCTGGTAACGGCATTTACTTTTTTGCCATATTGTTTGTGAAATTCTTGTGCAATATCCTCCAAATATGAATAGGCCAACCTTTTGGAGTAGGTTTTTTCACACAAAACCAAATAACATACTTCATACTCAATTAGGTAACTAAAAAGTGTCAAATTATAGAATTAAGACCCAACAATACAGGATTTGGCTACATAATAGAAATTTCACTCACTGAAATAAACATGGTCCTGTTTCAATTGAGCATCTGGCAGGAGATTGGGGGCCTAACTTTCTAAATAACATTTTAGCTTGTCTTTGATATTCATCAATATTTCTTCCAGACTAAAAAAAACAATTTAAAATGCAATATAATGCAATATTGCAATTATTTACTTGTTCATCTTCTTGCATTGTGGCGGCCAATGGCAAGCCATCGGCCACACGGGCTATCATCGTCATCATAACCATTTTTACAAATTTTTATCACAATTTTAGCAAAACAAATAGCAATAAATACAAAATCACGAATAACTTATTTAGGTTATGACAACATTTATTTACACGTCACTTGGAAAGTCACTTGATGACAGTACAGATTCCCACTTTAACGGCTTCTTAAATTTCGTATACAAGGTGAATTTTTTGACCAGGTAAATCGGGGATTTTCTGAATCAAAATTTGGGCTACACATTTGGCTCACATTAATCGAAATTTGAAAATTGTAATGATACATAATATATATATATATATATATATAAGAATTAAATTGAAAACAAAAATAAGACTAGTGTATACTGGGTTGCCTATATTCATAAACAAACACTTGTCGCACTGTGCACAATGGAGTCCACTATCCACTAAGTGGACACAATATTATTTGACGAAAAGGAATATTAAGTGGAATTTCCACTACTCTACGATGTTGTCTTTTCTAAGGAGAAATGGGAGAGGAAGGTCAAGAAAACAAAATCGTTTACATAATTTATTATTTAAATAATTTAATATGCACATCATTCCATAATGCAGAATTTTATTTACTTTGTTTTGTTTGCCGCCTACAAAAAAACCAAAACAAAACAAAGTACCCAGTAAATTAAAACAATAATAAAAAGGCAGTAAGTTACTAATTAATTGGTAACAATTGTATACGAATCAGTTAAAACAAAACAGCAGCAACAAACTGCTGTAGAGCAGCGTAGAGCGCAGATAGTCAGCGCAATATCTGCGCCGCACACTGTTTGTTCTAAGCTCACAACACAAGTATGGTACGGAAAGCGACCGTCGGACATTATGATTCTGACAGTGTTGCAGTTTTAAATACAAAGTGTCATTTACTTTTTTACTTGTGAGCGACCAAAACTTTTTTTTATTTTGTGAACTACTATAATTATAAACTTAAGTTTAACAAATTTGTAACTTTATTTTATTTTTGTCAGATTTATTATTTTGTGTGATTAAACGCAAAATCCGGGACATTTCCGGGACGTTATCTCTTGCGGGACATGTTGATAAAATCCGGGACAGTCCCGCAAAATCCAGGACGAGTGGTCACTTTATATAAACTTAACACCCAGTAAGCACACTCGGCAAACAGTCGGCATTATTGCAGCCGATAAAAAGTAATCGATTCTTTATCAAAAAAAAACTTAAATTATATAAAGCATGTTTATTCGTAATACAAACAAAAAGAACAAATTATTTATTGGGCGACCAAAATATATAAATTTAAACTTAAAAAGAAATAGTATACTACGACGATAACAATTATAAAAGATGAGCCAACCAGGGTTGGATGGGCTCAGAAAAACCGGCCCTGGCAATTTTTTCATTCAGCCCTCGCATTTGTAATGCTATAAAAACTCCATTTAAAAAAATATTTAATACTTTGTAGAACCACGATTCTTCTCTATAACATTTTGTAATCTCCTAGGCATGGAACTAATTAAATTTTGCATATCGTAATTTTCTTCCAAATTGTTAAACTCATTTTGAATTGAAGACCTTGGTGCAAAAACCGGACAAGTCCATTTTTGTGATAAGCATACATGTTTTATTTTTTATTACTTAACATTGTAATTAACACATTTTTGCTTATCACAAAAATTGACTTGTCCGGTTTTTGCACCAAGGTATTCAATTGCATTAATAAGGTCTTCTCTATTTCTAAATTCATATTTATATTTTTTTTTACGAGATATCCCCAAATATTTTCGATTGGGTTTAAATCGGGGCTTCTTGACGGCCAAGGAAGCGTTGTAATGTGATTTTCTTCTAGCCAATTATGAACCACATGAGCAGTGTGAACTGGCGAGTTATCCTTAAAATGAAAAAAAATATATTTTTTTGATCAGGAAAGATAAATCATAAAATGTTACGTGTTGAAACACAAAATCATTATCAAATCTTTCTTGCACTGAGGGGAGCATTACATCGTTTAAAATTGCCACGTATCGGTTCCCAGTTAATCAGCCTTCTACAATATGAATTATACCAGCCCCTGAAGATGATATCCACGCCCACACGTGGACAGAAAATCTTTCGCTGTTGTCAGTTTTGTGGAGGTATTCTTTATCAAACTTATGGTTTCTGGGACGATAAACTCGCAGTTGCCCATTGTAGCAGGATTGAAATTTTTTTTCATCTGAAAAGACTACTCGTTCTCAATATTCAGCGTTTTGATTTAAAAAATTATTTGCAAACTCCACTCTTGCCTCTTTATTAACATCCGTCAAGCGAGGCTTTTTAGCACTCACGCAGTTAAATAAACCTTGTTCTCGCAACCATTTTCTTGCCGTCCTAACAGATGCTGGAAAGTTGGTTTCCTCTTTGACTTGAATGAAGTTAGAAAATGGGTTTTGCCTCACATATTCAACCCACTCGTTGTCGTTTACTGGAGTTGTCTTTCTTGGACGCCCAGAACCCATTACCCTACTCAGGTCACCAGTTTCCACCCACTTTTTGTTTAATTTTTGAATAGCGCTTTTGCTGCAGTTTATTTCATCTGCTATTTGTTGTTGAGACGTACCATCCTTTTCCAATTTTGGCGATAATATAGCCTTTCCCTGCTTCACTTAAAGTATGGTAAGGCATAATTAAATAATGACTTTACCTAATTTAAGATTTACTTAATTTAATATGACGTTACTTAATTTTATAAAATTATTTTTGAAATGCCACTGGTGACAACCATATTTACAACGCACAGTGTTTCAATTCTCGAAATTTTCGGCAAAATATCAAGGAGTAGTCGGATTCTCCTAAAAATCCGTACATAGAGGTTTTTGGGGTCGCTGATAACGAATCTGGAATCAGAATTCCAAAGTTCAAAATGGTAGATCCAAAATGGCGGACATATTTGTCAAAAAATTGACGGAATAAATTGAAAATCACCACACAGGGTTTTTGGGGTCGCTGATAACGAATCTGGAATCAGAATGTCAAAATTCAAAATGGTATATCCAAAATGGCGGACATATTTGTAAAAAAATTGACGGAATTAATTGAAAATCACCATACAGGGGTTTTTGTGGTCGCTGATAATGGATCTGGAATCAGAATTCCAAAATTCAAAATGGTAGACCTGAAATGGCGGACATTTTTATCAAATATTGTCGAAATTAATTAAAAATCCGTAAGAAGTTCTTTTTAAAATGTAATAAAACATCTTTTTATAAAAAAGCTTAATTTAGTTTATTATAATTACATTTATATAAATATTATTTAATATCTACATATATATTAAACAATCTCCGTCACTGGATTCGCTCGTTGTATCATTAGCCGAGCATGGGAAACCATCAGAAGATAGCAACAGTTTTATTGCTTCGCAGAACAAAGATTTTCTCTTTTTCGGAGCAATTTTTCTGAAGCTAGAAATATACGGATCGGAAGATGCCATACAGTGTTGCCAGAAATGCAGAATTTTCTGCAATATGCAGAATTTTAGCCTACATGGAGAGCTAATGAAGAAAAGAAGAATATTTTACAAAAACCACTACAATATGAAGAATTTTTTAAATTCACATATTTTTTTAATTTTTAAATTTTTTTCAATTTTCTAAATTATTTAACTCTTTAACTCGATTTTAACACTGTAATATGATTTAAAATTTAAATTTTAAATATAATTATTTTATTCATTTCGTATGCATTCTGACATCTCTCGGTAAAATGGTATAAGACTCGAATTGCATCACTGGTGCTATACTGGGGGAGCCCCGAATTTTAATAGATATGATTGGTATAAAATAGGTATATTTATTGTATTTATAATTTATAAATCATAACTCTATAAAATATAATATACCTACTATATTATAAATATATCTAGTAGGTATATTATATTTTAAGGATTTGCATGCATGCACCTGTTTATTTTGTATACAATACAATATATTAAAGATTTATTTAAAAATGCGTCCAAGTGAAGATTCTCAAGGGTAAATATTACAATTTTAAATATGTATGCATTAGGGTGATTCATTTCCGCAAAGTTTTTGTTTTTTTTTCGGTGCTCAAGCAAAATATTAATCTACCTATAGAAAAAAAAAATTTCACCAAGGTAGAGCTCTTAATATCAATTTTAAGTACTTGCAGTTTAAATTTAAAGTTTTCCCATTTAAAATGCATGTAAAAAAATGGTTTTTTTTTTTCAAATTTCTAATGCTTACCCACCTTTGACAATATTGCAAATCGGTTTAATACACCTTATGGGGAATTTCACGCTCTTTAAAATTGCTTTTGAGTTTTTTTTTGTAACTCGCATTGGTTCACCAGTAGGAGTCGTCAAAGGACAGTTTTTGAAAAAAATCTTTTTATTTTTATTTTTTCGAGCAAATTGCCAAAAGTAGTGAGAAAAAAGGGCTGATTCATAAAAAAAAAGTTATCCAACCAATATTTAATGAATTTACTGCCATTTTTATAACTGAAAACGTAAGAAATTGATAAATACCAACAGGGCCGGCAGCTTTTCATTTTGACGTGTGGTGCTCATCTACAGTTGGTTGGTAGCAGTGGTTAATGGATGGGGGTGTGGGTGTTCTTTTCCTTGGGGGTTGCGGGAAGGAGAACAAAATAAAATTGGAATAGATTTTTAGTCAATTTATTTATCAAACTCAGTCACAGTTTTTTAACTTAAGCGAGATATTTCCAATTGGAAATATCTCGCGTAATAAGCACACTACTAATTTTAGCACTAATATATCCCCCCCGGAATGATTAAATTTAGTTCATATAGTTTTTTCGGCAGTACTTATTACGCTAGATATTTTTAAAGTTTTAAGTTAAAAAACTCACCCTGTAATGGAATCGAATGGGATAGGTATATTACTGCCACATCGGACGTTTTTAGGGTTGGCTTTTGCCACTTCTTGGATCAAGGGTTACCAGCATAAAAAATACGGGTTTAAAATAATCGTTCTAGATTTTTTTACGAGAGACAATTACTCTAAGATTCGAACGAACTTACATTTGTTGATAAAAAGTCGGGTACCTATCTATCCACTAATGCAATTGGTGGTACCAAACACGAACTCAGAGATAATAAACAAACCGCACGAACTGTAAATAATAATAATAATATAACTCAAAGTTTGGTCGGTTACCGT